TGTTTATGATATTATGAAAAATCAGTAATTGTTAATCTAATTGATATTTATTTCTTCCATTTATCCCTTCTATTCTAAAACAAATGACTGAGAAATTATAACTGGATCTCCATTTCCAAGTGTGGACTAAGTTAATGTCTCACTGTTGGCACTGTGTATAAAATTTGTTTGAGAAGCAATTCACTAGATGTGTCAGAAGAACGTTATACAGATTTGAAAGATAAATATTAGAAAAATGAACTTTCGATTTACAAATTTCTCTACATTTGAAAAACCTTTGTATCTTCGTGTGTTTTTAATGAGCAAAATATTATCTTTTTCATAATTACTAAAGAAATTTTGATTAAAATAAACACTTCTGCATTCTAATATCTTTGATTCATGCTCATGTTTATTTCTGTTTAATTATACATGTCCTTTAAAGTAGCTAGCATGCAAATAATTGAAAAAGTTAAGATTTTTATAATAATTCTTACAATTTTTTGTTGAACTAATCATTTTAAAGATAGTTAAAAAATTTCTGTGTATCAGTTAAAATTTTTCATTTCTAATTCAAATCCTTTTTTGCTTCATGGCATCTATATGTGAATATTTTCTTAGTTTTCCAGTGTTTTGGTCTCCATTGATTTTGCTTTCTTTTCAGGATGTTTTGAATAATTTGGGATCTTGTGAACTGGATGAAGATGATCTAATGCTTGATCTAGAATTGTTAGAAGAACAGAATCTTCATCCTTCTGGTAAGTGTTGAATATCATGGTATCATACAACTCTGATCCTACTCATTTAGCTTTCATCGATAAGCTAAATATTGTTTAAGCTGCATTTAGTCTTTTCAACCCACAGTTTGTATATGTGCAAGGCACTTGCTCAGTACCTTGGACACATCATTCCGGTGACCTTAAAAATCTATATGGGAAATATAAGTCTGATTGGAAGATAATCATAAAATAAAATTTTAGAAAACTCTGTAAAAGAAAAGTTGTTTCAAAGGACATTCTAATTAAACACTTAATGAAACAGTTAATATTTTTTCTTTTTTGGGGGGAGGTTGGGGGAAACAATTATAATCCCATTTTTTATTCATTTCATTCATTTACTTTTTCAAACCTTAGCCACCTCAATAATCACTGCAAGGTTAATGTTGATGCAATAATGTTGACCTCAAAATGAATAATTATCAGTAGCAATCACATACATACTCATAAACACATGCTACACACAAAGGTATAGTATAAGATAAATTCTTGTTTATTGAATTAAGAAGGGAGCCATTATATTTGTAATACTTTAAATTTATATTAAAGCATAAAATGTCATGTCTCTAAGTACCAAAATTATTCCCTTAAAAGTAGGTTATAGTAATTAATTAATCATTCATTTAGATAATTGAGTTCAAAGGTGAGCTTTTACTTATTTCTTATTACTAATAATACCTTTAACATAGTTATTTTCAAGTCAAAGTAGAAATAAAATTAAAATGGAGCTTAAAAAAATCTTGGATCCTACTGCATACATTTGAGAAAATCAACCTCTTGGACTTTAGTGTCCATATTTTTAACTACTAGAAATTGGACATAATCTCTAAGATTATTTCTGGCTCTAATATTTTATGCTTAATTTGTGTTTATAGATAATGTCTCATTAAAAATTGTCAAAAGAAGGCAATAACAATGTTTATATATATATATATATATATTTACACTTTATTTTAGGTTAATATCAAGAAGCTACTTCAATTTTGCATTTGAATACAAACAGAATAACAATATCTTGAGACATTTTTGAAGTTGAGTTGACAGATATTCTTTTAAAATATAGATTTTTCTCACTTTTATGTAGATACCTTATATACTTTTGTCATTCATGTGTATTTGTAGTAAAAGGGTTACACATGGTAAGAATGTACACCCTTTTGGAGGGAAATTTGTCAATATCTAGCAAAACTATGTGTGCATTTACCTTTAGATCCAACTATCCAGCTTCTAGAAATTTAATCCTAAGACTGGAAATATACAAAATAAAGTATTCAAATAACGATTCATTGCAAAATATTTGTATAAAATATTGGAAATAACTCAAATGTATGTATATATTATATATATGTATTTATTATATTTTATTAGTTTCAAGTATACAGTACATTGGTTAAACATTTATATAGTTTATAAAATGATCCCCCTAATTGCTCTTTCTTCTGGTTCTCCACCTAGCCAATGCATTAATGCTAACTGCATTCCTATGCTGTGCTCCCCATCCCTGTGACCATCTATCAAATATTAATTTATATTTCTTTAACCCCTCCCCCGACGTGCCCTTCCCTGCCCACCCAGATTCCGGTTTTCTTTCATTAGGAATTCCCAAGTGAATTTTATTAACGTGGGAGTGGAACAGATGCTAAAAGCTACCCAGGATTTTGTTTTCTTTTTTTTTTTTTTAATTTTTCTGGTTCTTTCCCCTCCCCCATTCCATGCATAAGACATTCTGTGTAACCTCCATTAAATTTGGTACAAAACTGCTCACCAGAGCTGTGGTGTCAGAAAAATAAAATATATTGTTTCTTACAAAATCAAAAAAAAATAAATTTTTTTCCCAGCTCCCCAACCCCCTGCCCTTCTGGCCGTCCCCGGATTGTCCTCTATGTGAGTCTGTTTTTAATTAGTTTGTTCTTTTTGTTCCTTAGATTCTGCATATAAGTGAAATCATATGGTATCTATCTTTCTCTGTCTGACTTATTTCACTCAGCATAATAACCTCTAGGTCCATCTATGTCATTGCAAGTGGTAGGATTTCCTTTTTTTAATGGCTGAGTAATATTCCGTTGTATATATAAACCATAACTTTGTTAAATTCTCCTACTCTGAGTGTATTACTGTTGATCTCTCCTTTTATGTCAGTCAATAATTGCTTTATGTATGTAGGTGCTCCTGTGTTGGGTGCGTATATGTTTACTGGGGTTATGTCCCCTTGACTTATCGATCCCTTTATCATTACGTAATGCCCTCTTTTGTCTTCTGTAATAGCTTTTATTTTAAAGTCTATTTTATCTGATATAAATATTGATACTCCAGTTTTTTTCTCATTTCTATTTGCATGAAATATCTTATTTCATCCCTTAACTTTCAGTCTGTGTCATTATATCTGAAATGGGTCTCTTGTGGACAGCATATGCATGAGTCTTGTTTTCTTATCTATTCAGCTATCCTGCATCTTTTGATTGGAGCATTTAATCACTTTACATTTAAAGTGATACTGATAGGTACATGGTTACTGCCATTTTATTATTCATATTTGCTTTTTCTATTTTTTTTATTACCCCTTCTCTTTTTACAGAAGTCCTTTTAACATTTCTTGTAATACTGGCTTGTTGGTGATGAATTCCTTAAGCTTTTCCCTGTCTGGGAAACTCTTTATCTCACCTTTCATTTTAATTGAAAGCCTTGGTGGGTAGAGTATTTGTGATTGTAGATTCTTGTTTTTCATAACTTTGAATATTTCTTGCCAGTCCCTTCTGGCCTGCAAAGTTTCCATTGAAAAATCAGCAGACTTTCTTATGGGGGTACCCTTGTAAATAAGTACCTGCCTTTTTCTTGCTGCTTTTAAGATTTTCTCTTTGTCTTTGATCCTTGGCATTTCAATTATGATGTTTCTTGGTGTGGATCTGTGTGAATTCCTCTTGTTTGGGACTCTTTGTGCTTCCTGAACTTGTATGTTTAATTCCTTTGCCAGGTTAGGGAAGTTTTCTGTCATTATTTCTTCAAATAGATTCTCAATTCCGTGCTTTCTCTCTTCTCCTTTGAGTGCTCCTATGATCCGAATATTGTTATACTTCATGTTGTTCCAGAGGTCTCTTAAACTATCCTCATATTTTAAATTCTTTTTGTCGTTGTTCCAATTGGGTGTATTCTGCTACCTTGTCTTCCAGTTTGTAATTCAGTTGTCTGCTTCATCTAATTGTTGAATCCTTCTAGTGTATTCTTCATTTCAATTATTGCAATCTTCATTGTTGTCTGGTTCTTTTTTGTGATTTCTATGTCCTTTTTTATGCTATTGAGGTTCTCATTGTGCTCATCCATTCTTCCTATAAGTTCATTGAGCATCCTTATAACCATTATTTTGAACTCTGTCTCTGGTAGGTTGCTTGCCTCCATTTCATTTAGCTTATTTTCTGGAGTTTTCGCCTGTTGTTTCATTTGTGGCATGTTTCTTTATTTTCTCATTTTATTAGCCTCTCTTTGTTTGTTTCTATGTGTCGGGAATATTTGTTTCATCTTTCAGCCTCGGCTGGATGACCTAATGTGGAAGGTGTTTTGTGTGGCCCATTGGCACACTCTCCCTGATTCCCTATGGTGAGGGCTCTGGACGTGATCTTTGAATGGGTTGTGTGTGGTCTATTGTAGCCAAGCCTTTATTGTTGTTAGTATCAGTGGATGGGATTAACACTCAGGCTGGCTAATTGAGGGAATTGGCTGCACCCACAGGGTAAGAGTTGCTATGTGGGGCTGACCCCACTGAGTGGGATTCACCCTAGCAGGCATGTGTACTTGTTGCACCCACACTTTGTGTGTATCACTAACAAGACCAGTCAGGAGTTGCTCTATTGTGGTCTGGTGCCAGCCTCTGGATGCACTGGTTTTGAGGCCCCTTTGGAAAGGCTCCCCTGTAAGCCAAGGTCAACTGCTGCTTTTGATTGGTCAGGGCTACCCTGTGGGAACTACAAAGTGATCATGGTTGTTACTTGTGCTGGATCTATAGGTAAGTGGAAGAGACAATGCCATAGGCAGTGGTCCAGTTATCCCCTGTCCCTGATCTAGGGAAGTTTAGCAGAGGGACCAGGGCTCCTCCAGATCTGACACTGTCTGTCAGTTGTCAAAAAGTCTCTGAAATTGGAAGAGCCTCTGGGTGATATGCATGTTGGATGACACAGAGACCCTGGGAGTCTCCTGGATCTATTGAGTATTTTTCCCCCACCACTGCAGTGTCAGTTTACACAGCACCGTCTCTGTGGCTCCCTGTTTAAGTTTTAATAATAGCAAGGTCAGCTACTGCCCCTGAATGCACTACCCTATGACAGGGGCAGCTACCTATCAATGTGCGGCAGGCATTTTGTGTATTGGATGGTGCAGGAGCTCAGGGAGTTGAAGGCCATCAGGTCAATAGCCTCTGTTTTCTGCAGTTTCTGTGTCCGCACGTTCCTGCAGTAGTCTTAAATCACATTGAGAAAAGCTACTATTTGGGGAGGTCCCACAGATAGATCCCTGCGATCCCCTCAAGAGATATTGCAGCTTGTACAGGCAGCAATGGTCTGTCCACCATTGTTTTCCCCAAAATGTGCTCACTGTGCTAGCCAAGGTCTGTTGCCTGCATAGAATGCACTACCCCAGAGACTAGCAGGGCAGGGGAGGCTGCCTGTCAATGGGCTGCAGGCATTTTGTAGCTTGAGTGAAGTGGGCTCTCAGGGAGACAGGGGCAGTAAGGCCAGTACAGCCATAGTTTTGCTGCAACTTCTGTGCTTGGTTGTTCCCACTGTAGTCACAGATCACAATGAGACCTGCTGCCATCTGAGGTGGTTCCACAGAACCCTGTGATCTCAGGACACAATATTGCAACTCTTGCAGGGAGCAGAGTTCTGCTTGCAACTGATTTCCCTGCAGTGCCCGCCCTGTGCTCACCAAAGTTTGTTGCCAGGTGGCGGATCACTGTCAATGGGCTGCCTGGTGTAATTTGTAGGTTGGGTGGG